ATGGCAGTTTCTTTATAGATTTGAGAAGCTGCATCACAGCTTTTTATACTTAGGTCTTAACGTCTGCTTTCAGCAAGAATTTACACATGCAATCTATATTCTTCATAAGAAGAATGTATGTCAGTCTGCTTCTTAACTAACTCATTATCAGTTTGGCAGCATCCTTTTGGGTCAAGGTTGCAAATCTGAGTCAGTGCTCAGGTCTCCCTGAATAGTAGCTCTGCCTCTAGCCTTCCAGAATCCTGGAGTGCCCACTTTCCCACACAATATCTGCACAAGATTTTGATTATAGATTAAATAATGATTTACAAATAATAAATAAAAATCTTATGAGTCTAAGGAGCAATATAATTGAAGTTTATTTGTTATTTTTTTCCATTCTATTAGTTTCTCTATTGTCCAATCAAATTTCCTTAACAGAATAAGAGAAATCCTTATTTTTTATACCAGTCAGTCTTTCAGTTTTAGTTTCATTACATGTTCTACTGTAGGTGTATCATTCAATTAACTACTCTTTATGCCTGAAAACTTGCATGTTAGAAGGCAGTGTTGTATGTTCTTGCCAGTTTCATAGTCTCTGAAGAGCTAATAAAGAACAAAACTACAATGACCAGCTAATTTACTTAGTTTTGTTATTCTTTATATATGCATGGAAAATTAATACTAGTTTATATAAGATGTCATCAGAATATAAAATATAAATACTTCTAGTAATCAAAGGATTCTTTTTAAGTAATTCCAAGAGATCTCAACTTAGGAGTCAGTGAAAAAAAGATCTAGAAGGTTTATATTTCTATCATTACTTAATTATACTTCAACAATATTTGTTTATTACCTCCAGGAAAGTAATTGAATCATTGAAGTTCCACAGTTTAAGAGATATGTCACTTTTCTTCATTGTTTGTTGAACTGATTCTTCATTCTAAATATTGAATTTATAGTAAATTCTGAACTTATAATAAACTTTACTCTCTACTTTTCTGTCATTAAGTAGAGGAATTGTTTGATATATTGTTGTTAAGTCTAGACCAGATATACTCTACTACTAATTTTTCTTTTATTATAAAATGTATAATGTGAGTTACTATAAATAGAGGGGTTTTGGGTATTAACCACATGTAAGTTTATTTTCTGAAGTATAGTTTGTCAGGGGACAGAGTGCTGTACTAGCAGAACATGGGCTTTGTTGATTGTGTGACATTGAGAAACTTGTATTTTCTGAGCTTCAGTTTCTTTATACTTCACAGTTGTGTGAGTTTTAGGCAACAACTAGTTCCTAGTGCTTAGAAAATATTAGTCCCTGTGTCCTCACTAATACTTTCTATTTCTTTACATCTCACCGAGTGGAATGGGTAGCAAATGAAATCCAAAGTAGTTATCGTCATTAGCTATAGAATCCCAAAATCTAAGCCATTCTCCACTATTGATAAGAAATCTTTAGCACTAGAGCAGTGATCTAGCTGCTCATTTTGTGTTTTGAAACATAGTAAAGTGTAAGCTGCTTCTGACAGTTGTAAAAATATAACATCAAAATATGTTTTCATTTCTTCATAATTTTTCTTTATATTTAATAATAAAATGAGTATATTAATCCATTCATGCACTGCTGTAAAGAAATACCTGGGGCATGTTGTTGGTATATAAAGCCCTAGTCCATTAAATCATTTTCCGTATCTTCGTTTTTTCTTAAGTACAGAAATCATGGTATCGAATTTATCTGAGGAGAATAAGTGTGACGATTTTCTATTTACTATTATTGTTGGTTTAATTTTCCCTTCTATTACTATAAGCACCCCATCATTTTGCATCTGAATTTTGTTGTTCCCTGTGAACTTGATTGGCTTGAGGGGACCACCATTGCCTCAGAACTGAGGTTCTGCCTCTGTCTGAAGCTTGTTTTTCGTGGCTATGTGAGCTGGTCACATTCGAACAAAACACGCAGCAACTAAAACAGCCTTGATAAACAAGGCTGTGAATCTTCACTCTGTCTTCTTCTTTTTTTTTTGGATGTTTATTTTTAGATATGAGGTTTCACTTTGTCCCAGGCGGGAGTGCAGTGGTGCGATCACAGCTCACTACCACCTCGAATTCCTGGGCTCAAGGAATCCTCCTGCCTCAGCCTCACAAGTAGCTGGGACTACACCTTACCATGTGTTGCTAATTTCTTTTCTTTTTTTTTCTTTGTAGAGATGGGGTTTCATCATCTTGCCCAGGCTGCTCTTGAACTGGGCTCAAGCGATCCTCCTGCCTCGGCCTCCCAAAGGGCTGGGATTCCACGTGTGAGCCACTGCACCTGGCCCTCTTTGTCTTCTTGAAAGTGTTTTAAAACCTGTACTGCCCTTTCTTATATGACACTCTACACAATAAACTTGCCAAAGTTATCTTTAGATGTCTGTTCTTCCTCGCCAGTTTCCTTGTGTTGCTAACCAAGCTCTCCCCATCTCTCTGACAGTCTGTTTTCAGCCGTCTTCCTCTTCTCTTGGCTTTCATCTTTGCTCCCTTGCTGCTTCCATTCCACCAGGTCTGGAAGCCCATTCCCCCAAGGCAGTCCTGTGGGAGTGTCTCCTTCACCAGCTGCTTTTCTTAAGAGAAGCATCCCTGCTAGGATTTTTGGGGAAAAGCCTATATCTTCTTATATTTGGGAAATATAGTACTTGCACCCACAAAACAGCAGAGAACATTGAACTGCTAACAGGTGTGATAGACTCTGTGTAGTGAGAATTCAGAGATGGAAGGTAACTGAACTAGAGTGATCAGAGAAGGTTTGAGCCAAGACTGGTAGGATTTGGGGAAGAGGAAGGGAAGCCACAGAACATTCTGGTTGTGAGAACTAGCCCCCAAAATGAACAAAGGTTTAGGCCTAGGAACTGAAGATTTTCTCTGTGTCTTACACCAGAAAATGCAGTACAGAGTTAAACAAAACTACAGAGCAGAGTTGGCAGACCCTCAAAAGATCACCTGGTCTGCCTGCCCTTGAAAAAGAGAGCTCAAGTAGGCAATGATTAATCATTATTTTCAATACCTGTGGATAGCTTAAGTCTCCCATCCTTAGGGGAATCTGTAATTTCTAAGCAGTGAGCAAACCAACTGCCCAGTCAATATCCATATCCCCATTCTTCCATATTAACAACTTCTGTATTGTTGGATGCAGCCACGTGCCTAGACATGCAACTGTTACCTCCTAGTCTGTCTTACAGAAAGATGTTGTGGTCCATGAGAGGTCAGCAGGTGTCTTATTGTGAGAATTCCAGAAAAGTACTTTAAAGAAGTATGAATCACCTAGAATGTATGACTTGGTCCTTGCCTCTTTCTTCATCCTGATGCCTGGATCATGGGCTTGATGTTTGGAGCTACAGTGATCCTCTTGCAAGTATGAGGCAGTTTTCAGGATAAAAGCTATGTGCTAAAGATGGCACAGCAGAAATATAAAAAGAGCCTCATTCCTGATTACCACGGAGCCATCATTTCAGCCCTTGGTGTGCATCTCTGGATATTTTTTCATGAGAGAGATATAGGCCTCTATTTATCTAGGTCTTTTTCCAATGTGTTACTAGAAGTTGAATATATTTCTAAGTGATATAACCCCTACAAACGTTGGAAGTAGGTTCTAAACTCTGGCAATTCTGGCAGGAGTATATTTGTATTATTAATAACGCAATCAAAAGAATATAATATTTCTTCTTTGCTTCATTAGGTATTTTAATATACTAATGTGCTTAAAAAAAAATTTAGGCTCACGCCTGTAATCCCAGTACTTTGGGAGGCTGAGGCAGGGACATCACCTGAAGTCAGGAGTTCAAGACCAGCCTGGCCAACATGGTGAAACCCCGTCTCTACTAAAAATATAAAAATTAGCTGGGTGTGGTGGTGTGCGCCTGTAATCCCAGTTACTCAGGAGACAGAGGTAGGAGAATTGCTTGAACCCAGGAGGCAGAGGTTGCAGTGAGCTGAGATAGCGCCACTGTACTCCAGCCTGGGAGACAGAGCGAGACTCAATATGAAAAAAACAAGTTTGAATTATAGGGCTAGGGTCTCACTCTGTCACCCAGGCTGGACTGCAGTGGCATGATCATAGCTTACTGCAGCCTCGAAGTCCTGGGATCAAGCTATCCTTCCACCTCAGCCTCCTACATAGCTGAGACTACAGACATACGCCAGCATGCCCAGCTAAGTTTTAAAATTTTTTTTCTGTAGAGAGAAAGTCTCTCTATGTTGCCCAGCTGGTTTTGAACTCTGAGCCTCAAGTGATCCTCCAACCTTGGCCCCACAAAGTGCTAGGCTTGTAGGCGTGAGCCACTGTGCNGGGGTTTAAAAAAGAAAAAAAAAAAAAGAAAAGAAATACCTGGGGCTAGGTGATTTATAAGGAAAAGAGGTTTAATTGTCACACGGTTCAGTAGGCTGTACAGGAATCATGGCAACATCTGCTCTTGGGGAGGCCTCAGGGAAATTTTACTCATGGCGGAAGTCAAAGCAAGAGCATGCATCTTATATGGCAGGCAAGGACCGAGAGAGAGCAGGGAGATGCCACACTTCTAAACAACCAGATTTCAGGATACCTCACTGTCACAAAACCAGCACCAAGGAGGAAATCTGCCCAAGTAATCCAATCACCCCCACCAGGCTCCACCTCCAACATTAGGAATCACAATTGAATATGATATTTAGGTGGGAACATAGACTCAAACCGTATCAGTGAGTATCTTGTTATTTTAATTATTTGGACATGGATTCATTGAGCTTTATTACTTATAAAAATATAAGAATAAAATATAACATCTTTAAAACATATGTAAAGAAACAACAAAAACTATTTAATTTTACCAATCAAGAATATAAACTGCTGACATAATAAAAATAAAGTAAATGTTAAGAGTTTGATTAGGTCCAAAAATCAGAAAATGCTGCCAAGACAATTCGCTGGAAATCTCTGTAGACAGTCTCTTTAATATTTTTGTACATTAGCAGTGTAATTTTCTTGCGCTTTTTTTCCTCCTACACAGGAATACCCGACAAGGAGCTGAACCCTAAGAAGAAGATTTGGGAGCAGATCCAGCCTGACCTTCACACTAATGATGAGTGTGTGGCTACATACAAAGGAGTTCCCTTTGAGGTGAAAGGGAAGGGAGTATGTAGGGCTCAAACCATGAGCAACAGTGGTATCAAATAAAATGCCTCCACTACCAAAAGACATTGGAGAAAACCTTAATAGTAATAAAGAGAAATATATTTGTCACTTGTACCTGAAATATGAGTGGCTCATTTTTGTGTTAGTGTCTCCTAGGCTTGACTATTCTTTTACTTGGTATATATTATTTTCATTGATTGGGGAAACACTACATTTTTACCTAGGTTCTTAATCATTTATAAAGGAGAGAAGAAGTTGCCTATGTTTTGTAATAATTTATTTTTTAGCAAGAATATTGATTAGCAGCTGTTTTTTTTTTTCTTTATACATGTAGATAACTAGATTAATATTTACTTTCTTATTTATGGGCACAGGATGTATGAAATTTCAAGCTCTGAAATTTTTCTTATATGTCTGTATCAAAAATATCCTCTCCTTTTCCAAAGTGACAAGTTAGAAAATTTGTATCAGACTTATTAACTGATCATATTATAATAGTATTGAAAATGACCAACTGTTCATTCTGAAAGCCAAACATAAAACCTAGGAGATGTGGCATATGAACATTTTTGCTTTGCTGCTAGAGTAATTCTGACTAATAATACTTAAAGCATTTTTTAAAAAAAACTAAAATTTTCTATCTTGAAGTTTTTCTATTTAGCTAAATAATTAGTAATAAGTTTTGACTAGCTCTAAAGAATAAACACATTGAAAACAGTTGCCACAGTGTTTCTAATAAATTGATCATAAAAGCAGCAATCTTTTTTTTAATTCTAGCTGCTTTATAAAGATTCTTTGGGTACCTAATAAAGGATAATTTATAGCTTATTATTTTTTGAAGAGCATTACAGACTGATATTTTGCTTTTTCATGTATCATCACACTGTCAGTATATTAAAAGAAATTGCAGCCTAAAACTTAACATATACCATACATATATATTAAGGTGTCAAATAGCTATTCTCACTCATTTTACAAATATTGTAAGAAGAATAAAAATTAATTGAGGAATTATGAGCTTCCAGGCCATCAGCCTTGAGATGATTACTGATGATTTGGACTTACACACACATGTCTGCAAGATAGAGGGTTGTGGATAGGGGAGGGCTGGTAGCTAACAGGCGTCCTAACAAAGCAATATTAGTGACTTTAACCAAGTTTCAGAGTCTGAGCCTTAGCTTTACAGCTTCAAAAAAAGAAGAGCATCAATGGAGGCAGAAGTATAGACATCGTTTTAAAAATACACACATGCACACACAAACAAAACATTTTAGCATTACAAAACATTTTAGCATTATAGCTGTCCAAATCCTTCAATAAGAAGGAGAGGCACACACACACATACACACTGTCACACAAAACTCAACAACTATAAAACCCCTGCATGTTATAAAAGGCAGAATTAAATTTAAATCCATGGAACTCTAGTAAGCCAGGATATATTATAGTACCATTATCAATGTTTTGAAAATATGAACAGAGCATCATTAACATCTGTTGGTACCTAAACACAAAATGAATTTCAAAAGTTACTTTGTTCTCAAGATATGTCATTCTTTTGAAAATAAATTTGGTGACAGTCTTTTGTGAGTTTTTTGCTCTAATTTTTCTCAATTGTATCAAATTTATTTAATATTATTTAAATAATATTTAAATTACCTAGGTAGTTGAAATTTTACCCACTAAATGTTGAAATACTCTAGCCCAGATCATATTATCTAAAGCTTTGTCAGTGAAACCTAAATTGATGATTAAATCATACATCCAACCTAGAAATAATAAAAACTATTGGTCTTTTGTTAAAGCCTATGATATAACACCATCAGTAGCTAATTTATGCTGAAATTTATGATAACTTACTACAAAAGAATACATTGCTAAAATGTCACATCTCTCTTTCTCAAGTACTGTATTATGCCTTACCAAATTATACCAAAAGTCCATGCTTCCCTCCATAATTCCCCCAGGTCTTTACCACATAAAGAGAGAAAGAAGTGGAGAGTTAATGAGTGGTTTTTCAAGCTGTATAAAAGCATTAACAAAGTTATCAATTCAGCCCTATTCAGTACTTGTTTTCCCAGAAAAAAACTTGATTCGCTTTTCTTTGTATTGCTGGGATGGGAGAACTCTTAATGGAATCGGCAAAGAAATAGCATTGTTGGCAAACTGGATATAACACTTCGGCATCTGATGTATTCTGGCTTTTAACCATTTCAATGGCAGGAGGTAGTATTTGGTGGGAGAATCACTTTGAGCCCAAGAGTGGAAAGCAAGGTGCTGTGTGCTGTGATTGCACCACTGCACTCTAATCCAGGCTATAGAGTTAAGACCCTGTCTCAAAAAAAAAAAAAAAAAAAAAAAAAATCTTAGTTGAGGAGCACCTCACTATTTCTTGTAACTGGGCATTAAAATGGCCTGAATATACCTCCTCAACTTTTCAGAGAAATGATATGTCCTTTTAAAATATAAAAGTATCAGAAGTATGTAACATTAGCCATGCATTTCATCTACATAAATGGTGACACAAGTCCTGATTCTAAGTGCTATCCAACAGTATGAAAATTACAACTTTGTCACTAAGATGCAACATAAAAACTAGGAAGGGCAAATTAGTATGCTCAACAGACAGTTGCAAATTGCTGTCTTGTGAAGAAAAGCTCTACTCTCCAAAATTTTAGTTAAGGCATAATCATGTCTTCTCTAACAAATGTAAGGGGGATATATTAATAATACATGTCTACTGTCATGGATTTTATTACAGAATTATTATTAACATAGTTACTGCCTTATAACTAGTGTTTCCATGTGTTTTATCCACCTCTTAACTCCTTATAAGGTAGATCCGTCAATTTACCCCAAAGACTCAACAGAAAAGTTAAATAAATGCCCATACACAGTTGAAATCTGGTTTAATTTTTTTCAGTTCTTACTGATTTTGTGTTCTCCGTTACATTATACTTTCTTAACATGTTAGTTAAATGGTCATGTGGTTTATTTTATTTGAATAAAACGTTTAGCTTTAGGGTAAACGTTAGAGAAAAATAGTGACGTAAAAATACCTAAATTTAAGTAGTTACATTATGTAAGATTAGGTTAGCTCCCTTAGTGTGGAGTATTTAAGAGATTCTAAAAGGAATGATGAGATTATTAAACACTTTGTTGGAGTTGTTCCGAAGAAGTTTTTTTTTTTTTTTTTTTTTTCTTCCTTTTTGCTATTCAAGCTTAGAGGAAGAATTAACTTGGCAAAACCAAGCTGCTGCTGCTGGTAGCAGTTGCCTTTTTAAAAAGCCACATGCCATGATTCTTTGAATAGTGCACTGTTATTAAGGGCACTGAATGTGTCATGACAGTCCATTCCAAAAGCCAACATATGATAGAAGTCACTAAGTTCCATATAGATAGATAATTTAAAACAGGAACATAGGTATACTATGGTGGTACTTATATGATAACCCCATTGTGGTACAACTTATATGATAACCCCAAAATTTGCAATAATAATGAAAAAAAAAGGATAGTTGCTGATGATTAATATGCCTCTGTACAAAACTGAATCATCTTCGGGTACCAACTTGTTGGAATGAGAAAGATTGACCCATTCTTGTGCATTGCACTTTGTATAGTTATGATTTTTCCTTTGAATAAATCTTGGCAGAGATAATTCATAGGAGTATAACCCCAAAAAAATATTTTGAGGAAGGACCCAGAGCAATGAAATAATTGTTGGTTTGAAAGTGAGCCATCTGGAATTTCAGAGTGTGAACTAATTATTGTATATTGTATTTTGTCACCCTTATGTATTTGGTTTTTTTTTCCTTCCTTACTTCCACCTATCCTAACACACACTATTCCCAATTCTCTAGATGTTTAAGTACAACAATGTGTGCAAGTGTGATTTTATGTCTTCATCAACATCATTTCCTATCTGGCAGGCTGTTGGCCTTAGCAACAGGAGCAGAAACAAGCGTGAGACGCAATAATTGCAAGAAATAAAAATCCTTTTTAATGAAGCATTAACTACTCTTGCCTTTCCCATTGCTACATAATGCCTGCAGAATTGTTCAAATAGCCATTGTTAATGTCATCATTTCCTCAATGGCATTTATGTGATGAGCCTTCATATTGAAGCTACTCTGACAAAGTTTTACATTTGTTTTTGTAAATTCCCTCATTATAATATCATGCATCCCAGCAGAGAAACACAATATATACATGCACGTTAGTTTTCAGATTGCATATTTGGCTGATACTTATTCATTAAAAACCCCTCAAATTTTCACACCTGGGGAATTTGGAAAGAACAGTCCAAGAGTCATCCAAAATCAACACCACAACTATATTTCTTTTTGAAAAAGATTAATGAAAAATGCAAGTTAAAAGTTACTTTCAGTAAGTTTAGCAAAAGGGAATGATTTCAGTAGAAATAACTTTTTTCTAAAACTTTCAGTTTTCCTATGAAAGGATAACATTTTTGTCTTAACATAGCACATACATTGAAAATAAAAACTTTTCAGATACTTATGAAAAGAGACTTGTTTTGAAAACAAAAGTTTGAGTGAGTATCTGGGAAATAGCAATGCCATGTACAAACACTAGCTTTATGTAAGAGAAATACAGTATATCTGAAAATCAGTACAACAGAAAATCTAAGAAAATTTTTAATGAAAAAAGTATAAATAAGCATAGCTTTAAAAACGAAAGCTTTGAAAATGCTAATTGAGATGATGTATCTGGAACAACCCTGGCAAGAGCCAGAGCTTATTAAATTTCAGGGGTAATCACTAATGACCCGGATTGTATGCATTAATGAGATTCTAACACTAGCTGCACAAAAATATCAGGCACACTATCTTTCAATCCTCTTAAAATATTCAAAGCACTTTCAAATTAAACTTGAGTAGAGATTTTTGGTGTGTGGATGAGAATAGCATGCAGATTAGCCATCTGGAGGGACATGAGAAAAGATTACAAGTAATAGACTGTAATAGGAAACATGGCAGGGCACCAAAGATGAACTTGCTGGACATTATTTATTTTACTTAAACATAATCCTGAAGTAATCTTAGTCTCATGGCTCTTTATATGCGTAGGGGCAGAAAGGTTCGTGATACCCATTACCCCTCTTAAGAGTCAAGGCTGACACTCCTGTAGCAAAAGACGAGAAATGTATAACAAATGTATTTAATCGACGTTTTACCTAATACCAGAGCCCTCAGAAATGAAGACCAAAAGACTCGGAAATAACTATTTTGTGCTTAGGATTGCTGAAGAATGGACAGCCATATAAAAATGTAATTGAATAAATAAGAAAGTGTTAACTGTAATAGACTGACGGGGGAAACCCAGCAAGGCCATCCAGATTCTTGGCCTCTGTAGCATGACTTCCCCCTGAGCATGGGGCAGGACCCATCTGGAATGAAGGTCATCGAGGCAAAAGGGAGAGAGTGAACTTTTAAGTTTCATGGCTTGTTTACAGGATGAGGGATTCCGATTTCTGTGACTTTCTTCAAGGGGAAAAAAGGGGTGGAAGATAGGAGAGAGACAAGGGCAGAAGGACAGAAAGACCTTGCTTCTGAAGCTCTTCCAGTCTCCTTCAGTTCAAAGTACTCAGCATGCCAAGGTGTCATATTTGGAATACGGTGTTTTGAGCCCCCAATAGTTGCAAGTTGTAATTATCTCCAGAACAGTTGAGTTTATTCAATGATATCCATTGAATATGAATGAATGATCACATGCACTGTCATCCAGAAAAAGCTAAACTAATGAGCCTCAAATGGAGAACAGCAGCAAGATATTCATGTCAGTGTCTTAACATTCATATGATTCAA